AAAGATCCTCTGTAATTATTTCCTGAGCTGAATTTCTGACAATCTTGAATATCACCTATCAGCACAAATGAAACTATCTCTTTGTGTTTGTGTTCAGAGTGCCCTTTTCTTCAGAAGTAAGAATTTTTTTTTTCATCCTGGATCAAGTGTTCAGTACATTAAATAGAAAATAGCTTTGATTGATTGATTGAGGCTGCCCAACTCAGACAATGTGATTTTTGGTGACAAAGAAAGAAAGAAAAAAAAAAGTAAAAACCAACAAATACAAAAAATAAAGCACATCTTTAACATGAAGGTATATATTAAGAATAGTTCATATTCACATATGAATTGAACTAGGTGGGAGTACCTAGCTAAACTTTCTGATCTTGGAAAGCAAAGCAGTCAGATCTGGTTAGTACTTGGATCAGAGATCACCAGAAATCACAGGGCTGTAGGCTAGACTGGGAAGTCATTCCTGAAGGCATCAGTGGAAGACCACTTCCATATTGCTGCTAAGAAAATTACATGAATGAATTTTTCTTTTCTTTTTCTTTTTTACATATGAGCTGGGTCATATGTAGACATAATTTATGGTGTTTTAAATCTGTTGATGAATTGTTTCTAGCAGCTAGGATATCTGTTGCATGGAAATCATATCTCCACAGCATTGGAAGGAAAGATGAGAGCAGTCAGTTGCGTGGAAGTCAGGGTAGATACCAAAGAGTGCACATGAAAGCTTTTCTTCTGCAGACCAACCTCATTTAAGCAATGTGGGTTGGGGTGAGGGAACTTAAAGGAAGCATTCATGTGTTGTTTACTCATAACTTAATAATTCCTGAAATGGCTAAAGTCACCTTATATTTGAGTGAAAAATAGAAGCTCGTATTTCCAAGCCAACCTATTTTACATTTCAAGGACATCTGGATACACTGGCCAACTCTTAAGTAGCACGTGCTTCTTTTGATTGCCTTGTTCCATATATTACTTCCCTTTTTGTGTTTTTCCTTGCCCCCTCTCCTACTTCAATTAAGTAACTCTAATTTTAGGTTTGAATCCTTTCAGGATGCTCAGAAGCAACATGATCAGTTGTGTAAACAATGACACATTCATGGGACTGAGCTCAGTAAGATTACTCTCTCTGTATGACAATCGCATTACTACAATAACCCCAGGAGCCTTCAATACACTTGTTTCTTTATCTACAATGTAAGTAATCTTTTATCACTTAAAATATTGCATTTACTTTACTGTCACTGCTTTAATTAAATTATGTGACCCCCCCCCAAAAAAAAACCCACATTGGAATAATAATTCAATGCTGGAGAATATCCCAGAGCTTCATGCATGTTGCCTTAATAATTTTCACAATAAAAGGAGATTTTAAAGGGAGATTAGTATTCTTGTTCTCATGTTGCAGCTATCAGGCCTAATAGTGAGAAGCAGAAGTTTTTAAAGCAATATTTTTCAAACTTGCAACTTCAAGATGTGTGGGCTTGAACTCCCAGTATTTCCTAGCCAGCATGAATCTGGGAGTTGAAGTCCACATATCTTAAAGTTGCCAAGTTTGAAAAACACTATTTTAAAGGGTATCATAGCAGAGGCAATGTCCAAACTGGATGAGAGGGTAAGGACTTCCTAATTCAGGTATTATTATCTACTACACCTGTTGGTGCATAGTCTCTTGGAATTAAGCTTAAAGGTCCTGGTTTATGAAAGGATGAACAAATGCCCACATTTGTGCTTGGGAAGGGTTCCCCCCCCCCCAAGATGGCCAAAAGTATATGGTCATCACCATGTTCAACATTCCCCTTTCCCCTTAACAGATATAATAGGAATTACTGTTACAATCCAGCAGGTGCTTATGCTAGTGGCAAAAGCCTACTATAAGAGCTTTGCACTTGGTCTTTGGTGTAGCTGAAGAAGATTCACTGAGGCCTGATCTATGATGATTGAGCAAAGTTGTTTTATGGGCCAAAGCAGTTTTCCTGGCTCATAGCAATAGTATAACTGTTCCATTACAAGCATCATTTGAATTTTAATTTCATGACTCAGATCCTTCAGGCCTTTCACTAATCTCTCTACCACAGATCGAACAGCTTTTGTTCTGGTTTACTTTTTCTGTGTGTATTAAGAGTTTTTGAAGTGTTCCCTTTGTATGCCTTATCATTCTTTACTTTAATTGCCACTTAAAAATGCTCACATTTCTTTCCAATTTTTAACTTGGCAGAACATGTATTTATTTTCCCTGCTTCCCTGGACTTTTAAAGTTACTCCTTTCACTAGGGTTTTAGACAGACTTTGTGTGCTATGCCATAATCATTAACAACAGTTAAGTGATTACAATCCTAACAATAACATTTGCAGAAGGAAGAGTAGACATCTTTAACCCCTTTTCTTGGTTTGGTTAGAATAAAGTAGAGCGGATAGTGATGGCTCAGTTTTGAGATGTTCATGGCATTTTTTTCATGCCAAACCATATGCAAATCTATTTCTGTGTGCTTTATACTGCACATAAAAGGAGTACAAAGTCACTGAAAATTGTAGTGTGAATATTGTTTCACTTCTGAATCATATTAGGTTTATTTTCCCCAAATTTAATGAGCTTGGCCACAGATATGAAAGCAAGCATGCCATTTGTAGCAAAGAATTGTAGTCCAGCTGGATTGCAATATGTAACCTCTGATTTTTTTTTGCGGGGGGGAGAGGGGAAGGTTCCTGTTACCTCAAATCTAATTACAATTAATTAGCTGCTTTTCAGAAAACTCTATTTCTCTACTGTCATGTGATAATTCTGTGACTATTATTAGAGAAACATCTGATCATCCAAAGAGTATACATTTCCACAGTCACTGTTCTACATGCTTAGATATAAGATATTCTTTAATAATGCTGCATCTAATCGTTCCTTTGAGTTTTGCACAATAAAGTTTATTATTCTCTGTTCTTTTAAATCACTTTGGCTGTTAGGTATTCCAGTAGCAGGAAGATCAATAATCTTGCTCCGAAAACAGGCTTAGCTTTGCCTTAATGTCAATAAACTTCAATAACTATTTATTTATATGCAGCCCAAATTCCCAGCTCATCTTAAGCTATTATTTTAACTGAAGTTATCTATTTGAGCCTCTGGAGCTAAATTGACTAAAATATATCAAGTCGTATGCCTCATCCATTTTTAGTTCATATTTCAGAAACTGCTATATACATTTCAAAATAATCAAACCAAACTGCACATTACTTTAAACATGTTATGAGCAACTACCCCTACCTCCCTTCCCACACACACAGTTTAAACTGTTGCTCTCTGGTTTAATTCTTCCTTCCTTGATCATAATTTTGACAGTAATCTTTCCCTTTAATACAACTGAGTCTCTGAGAAAAAAGTCCCAGCATATAGTGTGTAACAGTCATCTGTTATAGGTTATCTTGGTCTTTAAAAAAAAAAAAATACAAAGATTATACAAAGGTAGTAAAGGGGGAAAAAATGCTGGTTGAGTAACCTACAATTTGTAACACTGAACCAGAGGTAAGGAGCCCATGACTCACCAGAGGTTGCTGAATTACAGTTCCCAGCATTCCTCTCCATTGAACATGTTCTTGTGACTGTTTGTAATTATAATTCAGTAATACCTGAAGGGGCACACAGTTCTCATCCCCTCCTAGACTATTGTCTGTCATAAGGACAGACTCCAGATGTTAAAAATATTATCTTTAAAATGATATGGACATAAAAATAACAGAGCACTCACATTCAGATATCAGATTAATTTGTATTCTTTGAAGCTTCTGAGACTGACAGTCATACTCCCCTCATATGATGCAGGGGCATCTGTGGGGAGGGCAGATGGTGAAAGCAGTGTCACACCAATGCAACTCAAGCTCTGCCCCCTTTATATGGGCATTGTGATGTTGCACAGATGTATGAAAGGGGTGGAGCTTACAGTAAGATGCTGCCTTAATCATTTTGACAAAAGCATTGGATCCTGCAGAGAGCTCTGATATAAGGTATTTGGACTTCTCTTTGCATAACCATTAGATCCTGGCATCTTAGGATGGGTGTTTCTTGATTTCTTCCATGCCATCATTGGCAATAAAATGTCTTTGAAAATATGCTGCATAAGCTGGTCTTGGACTCTGTTAAGGGGAGTTTCACTTGGGAAGTCTGTTCCTCCCGTAAATGTCTCTAAACTACTTCATGATACATTACTCTTCAGCTTTCAATATATGAAATGTATTACCAATTTTAGCAACAAAACCCGGTTCCAGCCAAAAAGGATCTAAAGGACACCATCCTTTCTTAATGCGATTGAAGTAATTATGTAACATACATATTAATGAATAAATAGGCAGCAACATTGCATTCCAAAAGTAACTTTGGGAGAGTTTAAATTGGGGTAATGGGGAAGTAAAAATTAAGCCACTCCTTCTCTGCTGCACTAGTCCAAAATGAACAACCTTGCTTCTTTTTTCATTCACTCCCCCCCGTCAGGCCTAGCCCAAGGATCTCCAAGAGACAATGCTAATTCAGTTCAGCTATGTTTATTACCTCAACCCTTAAGCAAGAATCTCCCAAGACTAAAACCCAAGTCCCAAAAGTCCCCCAGCCACAACAGTGTGAATTCCTCAGGGAGGTGCCAGTCTCATCCTCTTGTTCCTCCCACACAGTTCTGGCGAGCTAAGGAAATGTTTGTCTCCCTGATCTTGGCCTTCACAATTTCATTCCATCACACACACACACACACACACAGACACACACACACACACAAGCAAGAAGTCCCATTCACAGGATTACATTATTCAGCTACAGGTAAGTAATGCCATTTTTAAATATATTACAGATTGACTAAGTACCTGATAAGAAGCCTAATGACAGCAGAACTTTAGTCAGGGGCAGTCCTTTCTTTTTTATGTCTTGTTTCTGAGAAAAAGAAGAAACACTGCTGGGCATGCACCTTCCATTGTGAAATTAATTACCAGAAGTTACCTACTTGAACGTCAGTTAGCTTTTGAAAAATCCATACCTTGACTTCTTCAATACCTGAAAATACCTGCATTTTTTCTCATTTTTTATCTAGTAATTTGCTGTCTAATCCATTTAACTGTAACTGCCACTTGGCATGGTTGGGGAAATGGTTAAGGAAGAGAAGAATTGTCAGTGGAAATCCACGTTGCCAGAAACCCTTCTTCTTAAAGGAGATTCCAATTCAAGATGTGGCTACACAGGATTTCACATGCGATGGTAAGCATATTTCTAGAACACGATAATGAGATCCGTACAGGTAGTCCTCGTCTTACAACCATTCTGAACAAAGGGACTTACGACTGGTCCCCAAAGTTACAGCCATTGCAGCGACCCCTGTGGTCATGTGATCAAAATTCAGGCACTTGGCAGCCTGCTGACACAACTGCAGGGGTGCTTCAACTCCCCCACCCACCTATCTCCCCCCATCTATGTCATTTTGGCCCCCAGCACTCTGCAGCTCCTTCCACCCCAGCTGACCTTTGCCGCCTTCTGGCTCCTGCTGCTGACCAAGCATGCTGAGCCTGGCCTTTGCAAGGCAGCTGCTATCCACACAAGGCTTTCTTCCCAAGGTCACACACAGCAGTTTCCTCATGAGACCTGGGGAAGATGGCCTCATCTGGCCAGCAGCTGCCTTATGAAGGGCCAGGGCAGGCACACCTTGTCAGCAGCAGGAGCTAGAAGATGACCAAGGTCAGCTGGGCTGGTGGAGTGCAGGGTGGCAGGGTTCTCGGAGTACAAGGTGGCAAGGTGATTGTGGCTGGGTCTGGGCTAGGTTGACTGGGGCTTCCAGGCTGCAGGGGCAGCTTGGCTTCCCAGGCTGCAGCTTTGTGCTGCGCTGCGGGGCTCCCTGGGTCACTGTGACTTCACGCTGTGCTGCTGGGTCCAGCTGGGATGGCTGAGGCTTTCAGGGATGGCTGCAGTTTTATGTTGTGCTGTGGCTCAGGGGCTTCTTGCAGCCCCAGAGCTGTGGCAGTCAAGAAGCCCTTAAACCACAACGTGGCAAGCAGCCCCAGAGCCATGAGGCAGGGTGCAGGGTAGCCAAAAGGGCAGAGATGCGGGGGGAGATAGGCTGGTGGGGGGAGTTGAAGAGGAGGCAGTCCCTTACCTTACTGAGACTTGGGGCTGGGAGAAACCAAGCCCGTAATGCCTTGGATGGGGTGAGTCCTCAGCTAACAACTGGTGGAATTCGGTTAATGATGGCAACAGGGAGTGCCAGGATTGCTGTCACTAAGCAATGAAGTTACATAACATTACACTTTAAGACTGCATTGCTTAGTGATGGAAATTCCAGTCCCAATTACTGTCATAAGTCGAGGACTACCTGTATCAGAACTTTCCATAGAATGACTATTAAAACTGAAATAGCAGACATGAGCAGTCTCAAAAGTAGCATTACTAGTTCAGCGCCATCTGGATCCAAAAATATTTTTTCTTTCACAATATATTTTAAAATTCTTCTACGCTGGGCATCTACATTTACCAAATTGTCCCCCCCCCTCAAACTGATTCTTTGATTGGATGTCCACGGTATATTGATACATAGCCTAATTTTCCCTAATCGTCCTTAATTTCCTTTATTATGTAATACATAGTCTAATATCTTCTTTTTTGAGCATCTTCTGTGAAATTTCTGAAGTGTTTCATCTCTCTGGCTATTTGGCAGCACAATAAAGCATCTAGAAATAAGAAAAATCATGAATGCATCGCTAGATTTCACTGCTTGTAATATTCATCATTACATTAAAAAAAACTTGAAAATTAGATATATCATTCCTCTGAAAAATGTAAAAAGCAGGCATATAGTTCATGACGCTTGCCCATGCAACCCATCACGCTGCTTCAGGAGGTGCAACCTTTTCCCATGTCCCAGGAAAGTTCTTATCTCTAAACCACATTAACCTGGAGATCATTAGCTATGATCGACAGTACTTTGGAAATCACCTTTTTCCCTACCCCAGCCTGAGGTGCACTTCTCCCAAAGCTGAAAAATGCTGCTTTGCTTATTTTTGTAGCAGGGTAAGATGTATCTCTGTTCTGCTACAGAGTGAAACAAGATTTTATTTTCCATTTCCCAGCCCTGAGAGAAGTTCCTCTTTCACTCTGGGCAGAGAAAAAGCATGCCATTTTTATATATGAGAAGGTGAGTGATCTCTTCCTGCCTGCACAGACACAGAGACAAAACTTTTCTCCATATGCAGGCTGAAATAAATGGTGTCCTCCTTCTTTCTGCGTGGAGACAAGGACTGCTTTCCTCCATTAGGTCTCAGCAAGGAAAAATGGCCTAGGATAGTAGGAAATAGGGATTTAGGTGAGGATTTCTCTCCTTGACATCATCTGGAATTCTAGAAATTTGGGGGGAGATTTTAACCATTCGCCTGCATTCAAATCCCACCCTTGGGGAATAGCCTATGAGTGATTAATTGATTTTGTGCCTTCAAGTCACTGATCATTAGTGCTTCCAGCATGAAATGTCGATTGATTTATTCTAGGATACATCTGTTTTCTTGGCTATCCTTGATATTCCTAGGAGTCTTCTACAACACTAACATTCAAAAACACCAATACCCTTTCTAGCCTGCTTCTTCAACATCCAACTTTCACTTCCATAAAGTGTCATGGGGGAAATCATTAACCTCACAATTCTGAACTTTACAGTTATAGACACATCCCACATTCGAACTTCTTTTCCAAGGCCTTCAGTGCTACGCTGTCAAATGAAACTCTGTGGTGTATTCCTTGACTGGGGTTACTTTGATAATTGTTGATTAATTATTTTATTTACTTATTCAAATTTATTATAGTCACCCAATTCCAACAGGCTCTGAATCAATCTGAAAAGGTAGAATTATCCTCCACTTCAGTATCTTTATTGTTGGTTCTAAAGCAGATTATTGCACCTGTTGTCATTTTTCAATTGTCTTTAGATTTAATCTTAATCCCATTTTTTCACTGTGGTCCTTGACTTTTATTGCTAGAGCTTGCAAATCTTTAACATTTTCAGTTGCCATCAGCATAGTGCATATTACTGATGTTTGTTTCTCCAATTTAAAGCCACACTCAACTTCCAATCCAGCCTCCCTCAATATATATTCAGCATAGAGTTTGTATGAAGAATGAGAGTGTATACAGCCTTGTCTCACTCATTTGCCAACCTAGAGCAAATCTGTTTCATCATGTTCTGTCCACATTATGGCTTCCTGTTCTAGCTGTAGGTTTTGCATGAGGATAATGAGATGTTCTAGGATTTTCATTTTTCTAAGAACATTTCACAACTTGACATGGTTGACACAATTGAAGGCCTTTGTATAATCATTGATTACTTCAATGTATATTGATACATTGATTATCAACTGACTTCTTTTTAGTATTCTTTGGTTTCCTCAGATAACCAGTGTGTATCAGCAATAATGTCTCTGTTTCTTCAGCTTCTTCTAACACCTCCTTGAACATCTGGCTCTTTCCATGTAGGATTCTCATCTGCACTGGATTATCCTAAGCGTTATTTTGATATTAAGGATATTGTACAATAGTCTTCACACTCTGTTAAGTCTCCTTTCTTTGGAATTGGCATTAGGACTGACCTCTTAGAGTCTGTTGGCTACTGTATTGTTCTCTAGATTTGCTGGCATAGTTTAGTTAGAACCTCACTGATTCTTCTTCTCTTGCTTGCTGTCTTTCTGTACAGAATCCATCAATTCCTGTAGCCTTCCAACTTGGTAATGATCTGAGTACTAATCTTAACGTCATCTTCTAGTGAAGAGCTTTAACAATTTCCAGATGAAAAAATTGCAACCAACGTTCCAAACTCCTGCACATAAGAGTACAAAACACAGACTTTGATTTCTGCAATATCACTTTTGTTGTTGTTTATTTTAATTACTTTTCAAAATGCTATAGTCTGTTCATTTTACTAGGCCCTGTCAAGCATTGAAGTCACTGTTCCAAACTTAAGCCATAGCAGTGGCCTTACAGCATTGCAAGTCCTATTCAATTGAAACAATGAAAATGATTTTAAGAATAATCACCAAATGGCAGGTAGATGCTTCTCTGGATTGTGAAACATTTAAGTTGTTTTTTTTTTTTTTAAATTGGCTGCCTTTAAAAATTATTTTACAAAATGTTTCTAGATATGTTTAGATACCACCATTTGCCTGTATCTAGTGCTTTGTGAACCCACATGCTAATTTTGGGAGAAATCCATGCCTTAATAGTCTTAACTGAAAGGCTTACGTTTGTAGCAGGAACTCTCTTGCTCTCCAACTGTGAGGTTTAATTTGTTTTATAAAATCTGTTTTGTGCAAATGAACACCCATGTTGGAACCATTAGGTATTTTTATGCAGATGCACGTGGTTCTCCAGCTCTTGGTGAAAGCATCACTGATCTTGTTGTTTGATGCTCATTATGCTTGTTAAAAACAACAAGACTCATCATTTAAAAAATTAAGCAATGTATCACATTAATATTGAAAGTCTGGCATGTTGAATACATTGTTCACTATGTCAGGAAACAAATGGATATTTTTCAAGTTCTTTTTCACAAAAAGGATAAACAGGGTAAATGTTTCAGAATAATTCAGATCTGCATATTAATCAGTGTATTACAGCACCAACCAAATGATCCATCACAAATGGATTTTTCCTTTGGTCAGCTTCAATGCAGTATTTTTTTCCAGCAGAGTCACATATTTTGCTGTCAGTCACAAGATGACAGCAATTGTGCCTATGATTTCATAGGTGTAAGTAAGTAAGTAAATGCTGAAAATTGAAATGACCCAAACTTCACAAGATTTCATGCAGGAACACAAAAGGTGAGATTTTTTATTTTGAGATTTTTATTATTTAATTTAAAAATATTTATTTTTTTAAAAAAATACAAATTCAGAGGGGTTCAGTGGGTGCAATTTTGGGAGGCTCATGGGCACCTTGTTGCGATAAGTGCGATTATCGCACTTTCGCAATAAGTGCAAAACCAGGCAAAATATCCCTGCCAATAATATAAATAATAATAGCAATACAAAGAGATTCTGCTGGTTTCTGAAACAGTACTCCTATGATCAGAACATTTAATTAATTGTATTTTCATATACATTTCTCTCACTGGAAGCAATTTTTGTGTCCTAAGGACATTGGTCTATCTCCCCTTCTTCTTGACATGCAAACAATATATAAGCACACAGACAAACCCACCAAAGTTTACTGCAAATTAAAATTCTTCTAACTGGATACATACAGTCAATATTGGCACAGGAATTAAACAGTGCAAACCAAAGGGCAAGCTAGCAACATAATATATGAGGTTGAAATGACAACTAAAAAATGAAACCTAATAATGTAGCCTGATAATGGTGATTTGTAGATAGTTGTTATTATAGATTTATATGAGGTGAGCTAGTGTGTTAGAATTGAACTCTGTCAGGTTTATCCCATCTGTATTTAACATTATTTTCATGCACTTTCTCTGCTTCTTTGTAGGCAACACTGAAAACAGCTGTCATTTCTCTCCCCGTTGTCCAGACCAGTGTACCTGTGTGGACTCTGTAGTTCGCTGTAGTAATAAAGGGTTGCGGTTCCTCCCAAAAGGTGTCCCCAAAGATGTGACTGAACTGTAAGTCATATTTTCACAACTTGTATTTATAAGTAAGACATTGTCAGTTTCAATATTACTGGTCTACTAATGATTCCCCACACACACACACACACAAATTGGAATACTGAGGTTCACCAATCTAAACCAAATATGAACTAATGGCAGGACTGAGTCAGTTCATGAAGCAGTGGCATAGGATAACATACAAAGCTTCTGTTTTCATCCTGGAGGGAGAAAAAGGCATTGCCTCAGTACTTCAGCCCAGAGATATGTTGCCTGTATACCTCTGCTCTCTAGGGGCAGGAAGTAGCAACCTTGAGGGAATTTTTTTTGTTTTGAAGTTTTGCATAGTTCAAAAGATAAGTCATAATAAGGGGAAGAAAATAGGAGAAAAATATCCCAGCCCCCAAACCCAATGAGAACCAAAGAGATTGAGTATCCCCAGAACATTACTCTCATTATATACAACATTGACAATAAAATCACCAGTATTTTATAAACATCTATGGTGGGACCATGTTTAAAATATTGTTTATAATTCTGATCACAGTGTGGTAAAACAGTAAAATGCAGAAAAGGACAAAAAAAAAGACCAATGGGCAGGATTAATCCCCATTTGATAAAAATGGACTCTTTGGCCTAGAAAAAAGATTAAGGTTGTGGGGAGAGAGCATGGTAGAAGACATAAACATTTTTTTTTTCTTTCAAAACATTAAACCATATAGTCATCTAACAAACCTAATGTTGAGAGATTCAGAGATGCTGTTCATGCTGTGAATAGTTAACTTGTGGATTTACCACCATATGTGATCACCAACTGGAGAACATGAGTGGGAATGAACTCCTGTTTGTGGGTTTTCCATTGGCATCTGGTTGGAATAGAAAGCTGGAGTAGATAAGCCTTTGATCTGGTCCACCAGGCCTTTATATTCTCAGTTCCTTCCATTTTGTGAAGGATGGATTATCTTGTTGCAATCTAGGAAGCCCCATGTGAGTGCAAAGATTAATATACATACAAAACAGTGGCACTTTTTAGTTTCAGAAGTAGTTAATGATTGGATTTTAGTAAAACCGGGTGTATTTTGCCTTTCTAACATCTGTAGAGCATAGCTTTTTCATTTTTTGTGTTTTTAGTACAGTTTGTTATCTGCTTCACTAAACTGTAAAGTATTTAGAATGGGGTTATATTGACTTCCAGGCTGCTTTTTAATATTTATTTATTTATTTATTTATTCTAATTATGAAATCAAATTAACACTCAGTGCTGATTGCTTTGTAATGCTAGTGTTTTCATAGTGGGCTACCTGAATAAGCTATTGAAAATGTATTCTTAGCATAATTATTAGCTAAGCTAATTATCCCCACCAGTCTACATTCTTAAATTATCCTCATCAGTTTACATTCTTAAAAAGAAAAAGAAAAAAAAAACAGTGCTAACATGGGATTATTTTCACAACATATTTAAAAGGGCTAAAATAATAGATATTAATCAGATTAAATTGTGAAGAACCTGTGCATGAGGAAAGGATGGCTTCTCATTTACTTTTAATGTTATAGTGTTATTTTCTATATAAGGAAACTAATAAGGAGACTAATGCATATCTGGGCTGCATTAATAATAGTAATTAATAGTGATAGTAATAATTAATAAGGAGACTAATAAGGAGACTAATGCAAACTGCATTAATCTCTACAATCATTAATGGGAGCAAAGAGGCAAATAGCTCCAACTCTTTGTTGCCCAGTGGTGTCTGCCACACAGCACTAACACTGTGTTACCCAAACACTAATTTGTAGTCATATGTTTGGATCTTTCTGAAGCTCTAGACACTCATCTAGGGAAAACTGGCCATAAGAGTTGGAGTTTATCACATCCAGCTTCTTCATGTAAATGTGGTATATATCATTAGAAATTGTTCGAAAATATGACTCTGATCTTCGTCATACATGACTTTAATTGATTTTCACCATGAAATGTGGTGTATATTGAATGGTGCTTCATCTGTAGTCTATATAGAACATTATTTTTGTGCTTTGGGGGAGGACACCTCTGTAGTTTCATTCCAAAGACTGTCAGAGCTACAGCAGGCATCTCAAACTGGTTTTCCTTCTCAGTAGTAAAATAAGAGAAAGAAGGAAACAACACCACTATTCCTTTCTCCACTGAAGAAATTAGATTTCCCATATTAGATTAATTGGTAGGCAGGAACAAAATGCCTTGTAACAATCAGAAAATATGTTTTGTCAATAAAAAATAATACACAAAAGTAGTGATATGGAAGATCAGTGAGGCAGCCCTTGTGCCAATTCATTATAATATTTTAAGTCTACCTAATAAAGTTCCCTTGGTAAATTAACCAAAATGCTAAATACAAAGAATGCAAAATTTAATCATAATTCCTTTATAATTGCCCATTTGTTTCTTCATTTTTTTTCTTATGTCCTCTTTAAGTCTCAATCCTTGTTAACACTGGTCTTCACAGATTTTATTAAATGTTTTTCCTGTTTAAAAAACTGTGCACAAAAAAATGTGCATTTTTTAAAGGATTTTTTAAAGCCTACTAAAGCTCTGTTGCATTTCCCACTCCCACCCGTGCCTTTCATTTATAAAGATGTGAAGTAGAGGAACCCTATTCCTCAGCTACATAATAACATTCATCTCTGTGATATGGTTTCCTGTAAATAGGGTTGGGTATTTTAGGTTGCTTGCAACCATGGTGGTTGGTTATCTAAATGGTAGGCTTGGTTATCTAAATGGTAAGTTAAAAGCCAAAAGAAATGTGAAAAGCAGTATAGAGTGGTTAAGTAAATGTGAATGCGTAAACATGCAAAGATAACAGGATATAGTATGTGGTTGATTTACTCTAGCAGATTCCAAAAATAAAGGAATCCGCTAGTGAGAAAATCATAGTTTTGGTTTGATCATTGTTTTGGAGTGCATATGAGCAAAAATCCAAAACCAGTATTGTCTGTTAGGGTAGTTCATTGTTCTCCCTGTTGTTCCTTTTGGAAACGAAATGTAGACAACTATCAGGCCATTTACGTCAATGAATGTAGTTAAGAAAATGAGGCAATATTATCATATCCTTCAAGAATTACATCAGGGAGATGACTGCAGTTAAATATTCATAAAGCATCACAAAGTCTTCAGAATATGAGCTTAGAGCTTATCCTCCCCATAACTTTCCCCAGATCTATTCTGTTGTTCTTAAAAGAGCCAAGAGTGGGTGGTTTTGACATCTGGTGTTGCTTTGTCATCTGTCATCTGTAGAAACTTTAATTTGTAAAGAAACTTGAGTGCCTGGCTTTCTGTTGCTATTACTCTTAGCATTTATATTCTCTTGCTTTATTTATTTTATCAGCCAGATATAAAGACTGTATCTGATGGTGTCTATTTGCAAATGAACCAGTGCTGGAATGAATTTTTCTCTCTCCCTTCCACTGCAGCCCCAGTGTTGCAGTTGGTGATTGAGTGGTTGCAGAATTTCCTAGAGAAGATTTGGGGGTACTGAGGTTACATGGTGATGAGCAAGAAGGCCTCTTGCCATGAGTAGTTTTGGATGAAGCCTAAAGATCAGAAGCCTAAATTTAAGGCATATTTTCTTTTTCTTCATGGTGAGAATTGTGCATAGAACCAATACATTTAAACTTTTTTCTTTAGTACTCAGTTTGTTTCATTGATCTATGCATATCAAACATAACACTCAGTATTTATTTCTCCATTGGAGCACTTCTGTTTCAAGACTACAGTGATTAATTTATTAAGAAATTGACTTTTGAGTATTTTTCTCAGTGCTGTCAGGTAGCCTTTGTTTGGCACTGCAGATCATCATGACCTCACAGTTATGTCCTTGTAACCTAACTGCCCTTTTGTTAATTTCTGGAAACAGCCTACTCTTAAGAATCATAAAAAGTGCTGGAATTTTTGAATACACAGATTCAAAATGGTGTAGGAATGAATACTGCAGAAAAAGACTTTCATATATTTTTGATTCTGTAGAACAGATGCCTCTATTTTTGTGCTTGAATTTGCAGTTATCAAAGAGTGGCACTAAGGAAATCAGTATTAAATTGAAATAATTCATAGCTACTTCCTGCATTTATTTTTACAGCACAAGCCTGTTCTCATACTGATATTTTAAATGAATAAAGAGTATGTCCAAAGATAATGCTGGTACCGATGTCACCAAGATGCTCCAACTCTCAGCGATGTTTCTGTGAGGTTGCTTTAAAGGCACCTCTGTCCAAAATAATGCACCCACATTTCATTTATCTACAGGTTTTAAAGACTGTTATGATTCCCTAGTAATGCTCAAACCAAATCTTGCCAGCAACACCTGTCATGAGGGATGAAGAGTTGGGCATGTTGTTCATGCTTCATTCCATAAATAGCACTTCTACATTTACTGTCTTATATAGAATACTGTTAATCTGGTCTTTTCTACTCTTATTTATCGTAATAACTGTTGAGATGCTCAAAGGCTGATATCTGAGACAAGATTCTGGAGATTTTCTTAGGCGTCTTACAAGTCTTTCTCCCTAACTTGTTTACTCTGGTGTTCTGATAAAGTTCCAGTAATAAAGGGGAGGATTTCTTTAGTAGCATTCTAATTAATGTTATGGAGACTTACATTTATAAACTCCCACTTGCCATGGGAAAATCACATCCGTTGTGTGACAATCATGTTCAGTTAAAATGCTTTTTATTAAACCATAATCATCCACAGTTATAGATTTCATTTTAATTAAAAACAAAACCTGCCATACATCTAACAAAAAATTTAGTAAATTAGAACTATTGAGAGAGTTCCAAAATATCCATATAACAGGAAATCTTTTACTGTAACAGGTCCTAAATAACATTATACTGAAATGGATATACAGACAGATGGAAAATTTCATTCCCCAGGAGGCAGAATTTCAACATAGAGAAATGCTGAATATATTTCTAATTTTCCAGTAGTAGTGAACTGAAAATAAATTTCTGTCCCATAAAGCAATATAGAAGACCCATTCCC